TTTATATGCTTCTAAATTGTTTTATAAACAGCGTGCAGCTCTTTATCATTTGCAAACTTGCCGACGTATTCATTTCAACTTAACATGTTGTTTAACATTAATACTGCTTAATTCGACATGAAATTTATCACAATTTAGTGTGCGCGTGAAAAGAGAGAGAGAGAGAGAGAGAGAGAGAGAGAGAGAGAGAGAGAGAGAGAGATTGATGGGGGGGGGAGAGAGCGAAATAGATATACGGAGAGAGATATATGTATATAAATATAATCGTGATACTTTCTGATTAGGTATAATGCGTATGAAACAAGAAAAAATCTATTTTTCACGTCACGCAAGTTACAGATTTTCTGTCGCTTCATACGCATCATCCATAAACCAGAAAGTATCATATGATTGAATTATATGTACATATATTTCTATACGTTTCTCTATTTCGCTCCCTCTCTCTCTCCTTCTTTGACGCGCACCTCGAATTGTGATAGATGTCATGTTAAAATAGGCAGCGTTTATGTTAAATTACACATTAAAGTTGTAATGAATACGTCGGCAAGTTGCAAACGATAGAGGACTTCACGCTGTTTATAAAACAATTTAGTGGTATAAATCGTGCGTGCATAAGTATATATTTGTCGTTCTCTCTAATAATACAATGTGTATATATACGCAGAATGTTCCACACGCGACACGCGGCATTATCATCATTTTCGCGTCATTTTCCTATTGCCGAAGAAGCAAAGTGACAAATACTTTTTGGCGCGGTACTATTTATCGCGGCGCATGAGAAGCAGTAGGCCGCACGCTTCGAGCGGCGAGGGGAGCTGAGGCGCGACATATGATACCGCGCCGAAAAATATTATCACGTTGCTTTTTAGGCGTTAGGAAAATAACGCGAAAAATAATGATGTCGTGTGTTGCGTGTGAGACACCCTGCATATATACAACATTGTACATTATCAATTCCGTTCCAGATTTATTAAGGAGATAACAACGAATACGCTCGTGCACAATTTATATGCTTTTAAATTTTTTTATAAACAGCGTGCAGCCCTTTCTCATTTGCAAACTTACCGACGTATTCATTTCAACTTAATATGTGGTTTAACATTAATACTGCTTAATTCAACATGAAATCTATTAGAATTCAGTGTGCGCGTGAAAAGGGAGAGAGAGAGAGAGAGAGAGTGATGGGGGGGGGAATAGAGAGCAAAATAGAGATATGGAGAGAGATACATGTATAAAAGTTTAATCGTGATACTTTCTGATTAAGGTATAATGCGTATGAAGTCAGAAAAAAATCTATTATTCACGTCACGCAATTTATAGATTTTCTGTCTTTCGCTTCATACGCATCATCCATGAACCAGAATGTATCATATTGAATTATATGTACATATATCTCTCTCCGTTTCTCTATTTCGCTCCCTCTCTCTCTCTCTCTCTCTCTCTCTCCTTCTTTGATGCGCATCCCGAATTGTGATAGATGTCATGTTAAATTAGGCAGCGTTTATGTTAAATTACACGTTAAAATTTAAATGAATACGTGGGCAAGTTGCAAACAATACGACAAATACTTTTCGGCGCGGTACTATTTATCGCGGCGCATGAGAAGCGGTAAACCGCACGCTTCGAGTGCCGAGGGAGGAGAGGCGCGACATATGATACCGCGCCGAAAAATATAATCACATTTTTTTTTCGGCAATAGGAAAATAACGCGAAAATAATGGTGTCATGTGTTGCGTGTGGGACACCCTGCATATATACAACATTATCAATTTCACTCCAGATTTATTAAGGAGATAACGACGAATATGTTCGTGCACGATTTATATGCTTCTAAATTGTTTTTATAAACTGCGTCAAGTTCTTTATCGTTTGCAACTTGCCGACGTATTTATTTCAACTTTAACGTGTAATTTAACATAAACGCTGCCTAATTTAACATGACATCTATCACAATTCGGGGTGCGCGTCAAAGAAAGAAAGAGAGAGTGAGGGAACGAAAAAGAGAAACGGAGAGAGAAATATGTACATATAATTCAATCATATGATATTTTCTGGTTAATGGATGATGCGTATGTAGCGACAGAAAATCTATAAATTGCGTGACGTGAATAAAGTAAATTAAAGTTGTGTTTCACGTATAATACGCAAAATCAGCTGATGCAAAAATAAGTTAAATCAGGTGAAACGACGGACGATTTTTTATAGTCTTTTCGTAGTTATTTTCAAGTTTGATAATTCGTTGTCATGCGTTAACAAGGATGCGATACCGATCGTCTTCTTTATAAACCCTGTTTTTGAATGCTATAAATGTTTATAGAAATATTGAATTATTAATTTTGTTTTTCTTGAACTGGAGTCAATAGGTGACAAGTGTAGATGTATAAAATATTTATTTTGTTTTTCATATAAACATAAATATATTAACGCACAAAAATAGCGAGATTAGTTATGTACTGCTGTAATGTTGAAATTGACATCTGTAATTCGAAGTTGTTAAAAAGATTTCTGCGTCTGCATTTTTCTTTGATATATATACATAGTCTGTATTAATTATTATAATCATTTAATTATTGTAATTTTTACTTAAAATGATGCGGAGGAGACAGAACAATATGTGGTATATAAGTATAACAGATTTTATATGAAAATCTCATATGTATTTCGTAGTATATACATGAAATAAAAAATATGTAAATAACAGTAATGAAACTGAATGTTATGTATATAATTATGTCTTTGGTTGTACAGGTTGTTTATTCATGTAGCATTTGATAATATGTGATATATGATAATAATATATAAACATTTTTTGTTTTCCTGAATATTTTTTTTCATAAAAATTCTACATAGATAAGGAATATGTGAACAAGATTGAAGTATTCACAATTCCCATTAGTTTAAAAAAAAGGAACGTGTATATTGTATACATTAAAATGACAAAGTTATCGTGTTGAAGAGAAAGGGTTACCACACAATCTTTTCCGTAACACGTTACGTTAAATTAAGTAATGATTTTAGATTTAACTTGTATTGTACATAATCTTAAACTTTAATCAGCACACAAAAATAATCGTAATGGTAAGACCAGAACGTAACATAATTTAACATAACGATTTTTTGTGCTTTGACTAAAGTTTGAGGTTATGTATTGAGTAAAGTCTAAGGTCAGTACTTAACGTAACGTATACGCGTTACGAAAAAGCTTGTGCGGTGGCCTACAGAAATACATAAAATTCTTAATTATAACGTATTAATATAGTGTAATATAAAATTTTGTGTTCGATTATAATAATCTGAAAACACTAATGTGTTTGTAATACCTCTAATCATACAAAGAAATAAAAAAGAAACAAATAAATGTGATAAATATATAGTAAAACGAGAAGAAAATGATAATTAAAATCATTGCTTACAATGCATATAGAACTTATTTCAAGTAATTACTTATTCATTTTTACAATATAAAATTTGATATCTTTTTCTTAGTTATAAATAAAGAAATTTAATATTCTTGACTTCAGCAAAAATATAGAACCTTGACACATCAATCATGTTTACTTTGACTAAATTCGCAACATCCTCAAAGTTAAACTTAAATCTTTAAATTTTTAGCGATAATACAAATAATAAATAATATGTGCTTAATTAATTAATATAACATAAGAGATATTGCACCATACTAACATATAATAATCAAATTATAATTAATTCAAGATATCATTATAATTAGTTGTTTATCTGCTAACCCGTTTATTGTAATTATTTTTATAATGTTTTGTAAAGATATTGAAAATTATCGCTTTTGTATTCTATCCATCAAAACACAGCAATAACAAAACTTTGTTCCAATCAGTAAAATGAAAAAGTGTGTCCTATTTATTTGCTATAAAAAATGCTACTTTAATATGCAACAAAGAACTGCACCATTAATAAATTAAATGCAAAATTGATATCTTGAAATTTAGTTGATGAAATCGCCGACGAGTACCCTATATATTATTTTTTAGCACAAAAAACATGTGAAAATCGCATTGACATAATTTAACATTTAGATTGAAGTGTCTGATATACATTTGTCTTGGAATCCTGCTACTGTTAACATTATAATAAAATAAAAGTTTGTCAGGTTTAATTACTCTCAGTTTGCTACCATTTCATACATTTTTTTCTATACTAAAATTGATTTAACTACATAAAGTTTTTAAATTCATTATTTTTGTCACTGCATTTCATACATTGGCTTGACAAATTTACTTGAAAAGATCAAAATATATCAAAAACTTATATTAATAATGTTTGCAGAGATGATAGAAACATCGCTGAGAAAATTGCTTTACTGTTTCTGCCTTTGTTGTAGGAAAGAACAGAAGTAATCTATTATTCTTTTGTCAATATCATGATTCAGTCAAGCACCTATGCAATGTCTAATAAGATACAGCTGGACATCTTCTGGAACATATCACTTTATAAATTCCATCTTGTACTGAATCTGTTCCGTCAAGCATTCTCCACTTCTTATCGCTAGGCATAATAGTATTCAGGTTCCCTGATTTTATAAAATATATTTAGTGTATCCGATGATCTAGGTGTATTCAACTTTAATCTTGAGTTGAACGCTTTCACAATGTCCTCCTAGAATGAGGCAGTGAAACTGAAACCAAAAGATAGAATAAAATTTATTTATGAACATCTATAACGTTGACGAACTAACGCACACAACATTTATATATTAACATATCTCAATATACAAATGTACAAAAGCAAAAAAAAAAGATATTGAATCAGAGTTATACTGTATATAGTACATATGAAATTAATTTAAAGTTATATATATATATATATATATATATATATATATTATATAAAGTATTAAATTATATAAATTTTAATTTAAAAATTTAAGCTTTAAATGATATGAAAACGTTTTATATTGTTTTAAAAAAGAAATCAGAATTTCTTTACAAGCATTAATAAAATGTTTTGTACAAAATTGCAAACTCTTACACTATTGTTGTCGCAGGGTTTTTCAGTTTATTATGCAGCCACGTTTTGATTTGCGGCGATGTACGACGAGCCAGAGAAATATATTTTTTCTTTACTTCTTGAATCTCTTTTAGAGACGGCAATGTATAATTTTCCATATGTTGTGCAAACGCAGAAAGCGCTGTTTTTTTCTCATCTTCTGTCCATCGTACCCTTTTTGTTTTTCCATAAGGAGATGCTAGAGGAGCATAGAGAATATTATTGAAATAATTTAACAAATACGAAATAACTATACTATTTGTTCTCGACTTTGACATGAGAATATGTTGATTGCTATGATCATACATTCTTATATTCCATATTCAACGATAATAAGTTTATTTAAATAGTAATGCTATTTTATTTTACTTATTTACTTTTCATTTTGAATCGCAATTATAAATAGTTTTAGTATAAATATTGGAAAATGTTATAGGTTATGTAAACAAAACTAACAATAAGTTATGTATTTCGGTAAAAATAAAAAAGGAACGACAAAAGATAATTACTTGCAGGCACTAATCAAATATGTAATGTTAGGAGTTATATTAAAAATATATAAATGAGTATCATGTTTAAGAACGAATTAACATAATTAATAAAAGAAACTGAATTTTATTGTAATTCGTTATTGTAATACAGTTATGGATTGAAAGCAGACATGAAAAATTACTTACTACTACGTTTCCGTTTTCCACCTTGTTTATCCGTTTGCTTGTCAGAATTTTTGGAATGCTTTAGTATCTCACACAATGAAATATCTACAATAAACAGTAGTTATTAAAACATTTACGAAATTGCAATATCATAATATCAGAATGCTCTTGTTTTATTATCATGATATTACGATATCAAAATAATATACAAAAAGAATATTTAAGTATGAAATAAATAAGCATCAAACCAACATAAAACCAATTAAAAATGTAAATAATGTAAATATTAGTGTTATAAATTCTACGTCTTACATAATGATTTAAGCAAATAACATTACTTGTTTCATCAGTATTATTATTATTAACTTCAACTAAGTTATCTTCTATTTCAAAAATCACTGTCCGACATCGATTCATCATTTATATTTTGTGTATTTCCTTTCTGATACTGCTTCTAAATAGCGGGAGATTTTCAGTATATCTCTGCTTGCTATTGGTTGTCTGTAATGATCTCTGTGTATTTTATCAGCATGACCCATAAATGTGGCAAGATCCGAAACATCAGTATCATTCAGATTAAATTGAATGCAGTGTGTTGCTACATGTTTTCTTAATGTTGTACCACGCAAAGTAGTTGATTGATTTGCGTTACATTGTTCTGCAAATGTACGCATTAAAACACAGGCTCTCAGGTATCGGTGTCTATTTTTGTCGACAGCAGGTAGTCCAAAAATATAAGGGTTTTTCTTTGGTACATTAGCCTTTTCACGATATTTCAAGATTAAAGTGATGCAATCAAAGAGCTCATTTGTTAATAAAACAGGTACTGTGCGTCCCAGTTTTCCTCTGATGCAAAATCGAACATATTTCTCTGCTATTTTTCTATCTTCCATCGATAATGATTTATAAATATCACTGTACATATTTTTATTTACTTTTTCATAATTTTCAAAATCTTCTATCAAGGCTCGCTCAATTTCTCCTGCTCGTCGTCTATTAAAGACATGTGTTGAAGTTAATGTTACTTCTGCTAAGGAAATCCACTTCTCATATGAAAAGGACTCATTTAATGCTGCATATGCTTCAGTTCTAATTTTCGCCAAATGTGTGTATAATTTTTTAATATCTTCTAATGACGGGAGATTTATTTTCTTGTGTCTTTTATGTGCGGACTGGGTTTCGAGGACTGTTTTGTTAACACTCGTACCTATATCCACAACTAACAGCTTTAAAAAGTCTTTAACTAATTTTTTTTTTCTCTTCATCTTGAGCCTTGATGCATTCCATAATGAGAAGATTTCCTATATGCTTAATAAGTGTTGACAAGTTAGCTGCTACTGCAGGAGTTTTATAAAGTTGTTCTTCATTGTCATATCCTGCAACTACATTAATTGCTGAAATACAGTCGTCATATATTTGTGGATGATACAGCGACTGAAAATCTTCTACATTCGTATTTATCTCTTTTAATGCTATAAGAAAACGGCCTAGTAGACGCAATCGTGCACGAATCATATCATGCTGATGTTGGAGATATGTATTTAAACACACAACTTATTTGCATATATTATCAATTAATTTGTCATATCTCACAATACGTGTTACGTCATCCTCTCGCAGAACAGGAAACACTGTTTTTCTTAAACACTCACTTGCTATTGAATGTATTCTACCAGTGATTTTTCTTCCCATAATCATAATATTTTTATTTTTTCGAAAATCTTTGTTAAGACAAACTCGAGCATGATGACGTATTGTGCCTTTTTTGCAAAAAATCCTTTACATTTTACACAGGCAACAAAATCTTTAGCAGTCTTATTAGTTTTCTCATTCGGACGTCTGCATACAATTAATTGCCCAGTATTAAATTCTGAGTTGGTGTTAAATTTAAAATTACCCATTTTTCTAATAGTATCTATTATTTTCTTCCTTTCCGGGTTTTTTTTAGGCAGAATGGCAAATTTTTTTACATCAGGCTCGTTAAGATGTACTGTTTCCAAATGTCGTGCAAAGCTGTGATTGCAACTTCATACAAAAAACACAATAGTTTTGTTTCGATTTTATATTTGACTTTTGAACACACATAACTTCATCGTTACATGCTGATGTACCAACAACATTTGTATTTGATGTATCAAAACTGGAAGTGGATGAAACAGTTCTATTAACAATGGCATTTGGTTTTCAGGAGATTCACTATGTAAAGAACTGTGTTCTGAATGTATATATTCTGAACCTTCATCATTACTTTTGTCGTTATCATTATCTAGTATCAAAGAAAAACAAAGAGATTATATAACTATGAACGAAGGACACAACTCCCTGTCTAAAATTTCATCATTTCTTATGGATATTTGAAACTATAAAATCTGTTTTCTCTAAATTTATATAACTGAAAATATCTGTTTTCTCTAAAATTATATAACTGAAAATACAATCTTTTGTCCCTAAAAAAATATAAATATACACAAACATTAATGTTTATATTTTAATTTAAGTGGCTGTCTATTACTTTCGTGACATGCTTATGTACATACATATATATAAATTTTATTGCATTTCTTTTTTTTATATTTTGTGTATATTTATTTATTTATGAGTTTATACTCATTTATATAAAAATAATTCAATTTTTACATACCAGTCGTGTTAAAACTTAATCTCCTAACACACTCCTCATTGATTATAACAGATCCATTAAGTGAATCTGCAAACAAAACATAAGATTAGACAAACAGGGAGATAAATTACGTTTATTCAACAATGCAATAAAACACGTTGCATATCATTTTAAAGTGTAAAATATGAAACTTAATATTTGAAATTTAATTTTAACAATATTGCATACCAGATAAAAAAATATTTGCGTCTGCTATTTCATTTGCGTCGGCTGCTTCAATATTATTATTCATGAAAAAGTTATTTGGCATGACAGTTTTTTAATGATCTTCTCATTTTCATCTGTAAAGATTATTGTGCCAATATCTGAAACAATATATATGAAAAAATATATCATACAGATAAAATAGCACTTAGGAATATAATTGATAACATTATCTAAATTTATCAAAATTTACTGGGAGATCTGTACCCTCTTGATAAACACTGTCATCAATAATCATGGTAATTTCTTCTTCTCTTTTGTCATATATTTCATTCTCACCATTTAAAAGCGTCGGTTTTTGGTGACAACCTAAAATAATAAAGAAAAAGTATGCATTTTAATCTAGTACATAGAACATATAATAGATGTAAAAAAATTGCATAAGCAGAAACAGACGAAAATACTTCAACTCGCTTTCTAACTTTATATATAATGACTATTTCTAAAATTATGTATTTTAGAGATTCATTAATGTGACTATTACAGATTTGAAGAAATGACTAATTTAAAAAATAATATAAAAATCATTATTTTGTATACAATGTTTTAATATTATTAAAAAGTTGCATTTATATAATACATAGGGAATATCAAAACATAAAAAACAAATACAACATTGTTACTCCTGTGAATAATAAATAGTCTTAACATGCAAAATACATACATATACAATAGATACAATGTACATTTGACTATTTTTAAAAAACACAAAATTAATTAAAAGATGCATTATTATTTATAAATTATTATTAAAAGATATTATTATTAAAAAACAAAAATCAAATAATAATTAAATAAAAAGATATTATTAACTATAAAAGTAACCAGTAATTAAAGATAAAGACATTTGTGTCAGTTTCTAAGTAATTGGAAATGTGCACATTTACCAGTATTTGATGTAACATTGGTCATCTCCTCATTACAATCTTTGTTTGACACAGATTCATTATTTTTATTGCTTTCATCCATAGACATTATCATGTAAGATTCACTAATATTTAATGAAACATCAATCTTTTTAGTGTTATACTCCTTGTTTAGTATCACAGATTCATTGTCTTTGTTTTTATCAATAAGTCTTATAGAATTAATATCTGTGAGAGAAGAAATACATGATTATCGCATACATATGATAAAATAAATATTACAAACACCATCGATATGAGCTAACCTAAATAATTGGAAATATGCACATTTACCAGTAATTGATGTAACATCGGTCATCTCCTCATTACAATCTTTGTTTGGCACAGATTCATTATTTTTATTGCTTTCATCCATAGACATTATCATGTGAGATTCACCAATATTTAATGAAACATCAATCTTTTTAGTGTTGTACTCCTTGTTTAGTATCACAGATTCATTGTCTTTGTTTTTATCAATAAGTCTTATAGAATTAATATCTGTGAGAGAAGAAATACATGATTATCGCATACATATGATAAAATAAATATTACAAACACCATCGATATGAGCTAACCTAAATAATTGGAAATATGCACATTTACCAGTAATTGATGTAACATCGGTCATCTCCTCATTACAATCTTTGTTTGGCACAGATTCATTATTTTTATTGCTTTCATTCATAGACATTATCATGTGAGATTCACCAATATTAATGAAACATCAATCTTTTTAGTGTTGTACTCCTTGTTTAGTATCACAGATTCATTGTCTTTGTTTTTATCAATAAGTCTTATAGAATTAATATCTGTGAGAGTAGAAATACATGATTATCGCATACATATGATAAAATAAATATTACAAACACCATCGATATGAGCTAACCTAAATAATTGGAAATATGCACATTTACCAGTAATTGATGTAACATCGGTCATCTCCTCATTACAATCTTTGTTTGGCACAGATTCATTATTTTTATTGCTTTCATCCATGACATTATCATGTGAGATTCACCAATATTTAATGAAACATCAATCTTTTTAGTGTTGTACTCCTTGTTTAGTATCACAGATTCATTGTCTTTGTTTTTATCAATAAGTCTTATAGAATTAATATCTGTGAGAGTAGAAATACATGATTATCGCATACATATGATAAAATAAATATTACAAACATCATCGATATGAGCTAACCTAAATAATTGGAAATATGCACATTTACCAGTAATTGATGTAACATCGGTCATCTCCTTCATTACAATCTTTGTTTGGCACAGATTCATTATTTTTATTGCTTTCATTCATAGACATTATCATGTGAGATTCACCAATATTTAATGAAACATCAATCTTTTTAGTGTTGTACTCCTTGTTTAGTATCACAGATTCATTGTCTTTGTTTTTATCAATAAGTCTTATAGAATTATATCTGTGAGAGAAGAAATACATGATTATCGCATACATATGATAAATAAATATTACAAACATCATCGATATGAGCTAACCTAAATAATTGGAAATATGCACATTTACCAGTAATTGATGTAACATCGGTCATCTCCTATTACAATCTTTGTTTGGCACAGATTCATTATTTTTTATTGCTTTTCATTCATAGACATTATCATGTGAGATTCACCAATATTTAATGAAACATCAATCTTTTTAGTGTTGTACTCCTTGTTTAGTATCANTATAAATCATATATATATGTATATCAAATATACAGGGTGTCCCGAATTAAAATGTCATAACTTTGAGAGCGTATAGGGGATCGATAAACTAAAAGAAAAAGTGGTATAGAGATATGCTCGTTTTTGCTTCGTTTGGAGAAAATCGCAAAAAAACAATAAACGTAGTTTTTATTTCTGTACTTATTTATTACTTTTTAATCTATATTTATTTAAAAAAAATAAATAAATAAAAAAAAATGAATAAATATGAATTAAAAAGTATAAATAAGTATAGAAATAAAAACTACGCTTTTATGTTTTTTGCGATTTTCTCCAAAACGAGCATATCTCTATACCACTTTTTCTTTTAGTTTATCGATCCCCACATGCTCCCGAAGTTATGACATTTTAAAATTCGGGACACCCTGTATATAAGGCTGTGTATATGGTGTAATAATATACATATATATATATATATATATATATATATATATATATATATATATGTCAATCGTATACTTTGACGACAATTTTTCGTAACACTTGTTTATTTCGACGACTTTTGGCTATTTTGACGACGGTCGTCAAAATTTTACCGATCAATCGTATACTTTGGCGACGTCGTCAAACTAACCCGAACGGAGAATTGATAAATTTGACGACACTGTATACTTTGACGACACTATATTTATTTTTTGGCGATTTTGACAACAGTAAAAGAAATTATCAAAGAATTGAAAATATAATATTCGACATATAATAAAATTATTTCTTTTTCATTAAAAATAACTTAAATAAAATAAAATGACTTATATAATTAATAATTATAACTTCTTATTTTTAAATAAATTTTGATTGACTATACAGATTGATAAATCCTTTTGCCACATTAAGGGGATGCTGACCAAATGTTTTATCGATCGAGAAAGTGAGGTTAGATTCGACTATATCTCGCGTTATCTATATTTCAAATAATAAAACAATCTGTATTAGTTTATAGATTTTTAGTCGAATCTAACCTCACTTTTCGGTTGATAAAACCTGATAAAATAAATGTCATTCCGGCATCACCTTAACTATTATAATCATTTAATTATTGCAATGTTTTCTTAAGATGATGCGGGAGGGACAGAACAATATGTGATTAAGTATAACAGATTTTATATGGAAATCTCATATACAGCGTGTATCAAAAGTTCCGGACGGCTGGATAATTTGAAAAATACGCATCACAGAGGAAAATGACCTAGACAAAAGTTGTAGGATTTTTCCCGGGCAATCCGACGGTGACCTTAGATTTGACTTTGGATAGTCATTTGAAGGTCACATAAAGATTACCTTCAATTTCTTAAATGGAACCCCCTATTTTTCATTGCATATTCTTGTAGCTTATCTCGAGAGCTTTCCAAAACACTATAATTAAGTACCTTTTTATTAAGTACTTTTTGAGTTATAAGGCTTGAAATAATTTCTTAATTTTACATAAACCATAAAATATCTAGTAAACCATTCATTTTTCGATTATCTTACCTTCATACTTTTATGTACAAAATAAAGAGAGGAATCAATTGGTGTAATGAAAACATACAGTTGTTTTTAAGAAAAAATATGGAATTGTTAATTGCAAATTACATATTTTTTCTTAGAAACAACTATGTGTTTTCTTTACACCAATTGATTCCTCTCATTATTTTTGTACATAAAAGTATGAAGGTAAGATAATCGAAAAATGAATGGTTTACTAGATATTTATTGGTTTATGTAAAATTAAGAAATTATTTCAAGCCTTATAACTCAAAAGTACTTAATAAAAAGGTACTTAATTATAGTGTTTTGGAAAGCTCTCGAGATAAGCTACAAGAATATGCAATGAAAAATAGGGGGTTCCATTTAAGAAATTAAAGGTAATCTTTATGTGACCTTCAAATGACTATCCAAGGTCAAATCTAAGGTCACCGTCGGATTGCCCGGGAAAAATCCTTCAACTTTTGTCTAGGTCATTTTACTCTGCGATGCGTATTTTTCAAATTATCCAGCCGTCCCGGAACTTTTGACACACGCTGTATGTATTTCGTAGTAAATACATGAAGGAAAAATATGTAAATAACAGTAATTACACTGAAACCTTATGTATAAAACTCAATAACTTTGGTTGTACAGGTTATATTCATGTAGCATTTGATAATGATATGTAATATATGATAATAATATATATATATATTTTTTTGGTTTTTCTGAATGTTTTTTCATAAAAAATTCTATATAGATAAAGAATATGTGAACAAGATTGAAGTATTAAAATATAATATTTATTCTACTACTAAATACATATTATATGATAGTACTAAAATTTAAATATGTACAGATTAGCAAAGTTCTATGATGATATTTATTATGTGTGCAAATTTAATCCAAATTACGACTTAAAAAATATTACAAATGCTATATATAGTGATAAACAAAGCTACCCAGCAACTATTTTAGCGAAAAATGGTAAGTTGAATATATGTTTTCATATCAATATTTCATATTATTATTATTGCATGTAATTAACATTTATATTACATTACAAAATATATATATATATATAAACCTAAGAATAAAATAATAAACAATAACGATGCGTTCACAATATAATAAATTATAGACGTAGAAATACATCTACAAATGAAATAAGAAATTGAGAATACATTAAAATATATTCTTATTTCATTAAAATATTTCTCAATTTCTTATTTCATTAATAGACATTTCTTTAATATTATAGATAATAAAGATATATTGCAAGATATTACAAAAAAATATTATAACAAATAAATCACATCATATTACCACATCATATCATGCAAAAGAACTGATTTCCCAAAATTTTGTGGTAAGTTTAACTCATATCGATAATATTTGTAATACTTATATTTTATCATATGTATGCGATATTCATGTATTTTTTACTCTCACGGATATTAATTCTATAAAACTTATTGATAAAAACAAAGGCAATGAGTCTGTGGATACTAAACAAGGAGTATAACACTAAAAAAATTGATGTTTCATTAAATACAGGTAACTCTCACATATCTGTAGATGGAAACGATAGAAACAATAATGAATCTGTGCCAAACAAAGGTTGTAATAAGGAAATGACCGACGTTACATCAAATGCTGGTAAATGAGAGAGATTGAGAAAGAGAAACGGAGAGATACGTATATTTAACTTAACTATGTGGTACTTTTTGATTCACACATGATGCGTATGAAGTGACAGAAAATCTGTAAAATGTAATTACGTGAATTATAAATTTTCTGTCGCTTCATATATATGGAAACCTATGAGATGTTTAATAAGATACATCTTCGGGAACATATCACTTTATAAATTTCATTTTGTACTGAATCTGTTCCGTCAAACATTATATCCACTTCTCATTGCTAAGCACAGCAGTATTCAGGTTCTCTGATTCTATTGAAGATATTCAGTGTATCTGATGATCTAGGTGTGTGCAACGTTAATCTTGAGTTGAACGCCTTCACAAGGTCCTACTAGAATGAGGCAATTAAACTAAAACCAAAAAATAGAATAAGATTTACTTATGAGCATCTATGGCATTGGCAAACTAATACACACAACAATAATATATATTAGCATATCTCAACATACATATATTACTACAAAGGTAAAAAAGCAAAATAGGGAAGATAATGAATAAGAGTTATACTGTGTATGTACATATAAAATTATATTTAAAGAGTTATATATTAAAATATTAAATTATATACATTTTAATTAAAAAATTTAAGACTAAAGTAATATGAAAACGTTTTATATTGTCTTTAAAAAAACAGAATTTTTTACAAGGATTAATAAAATGTTCTGTATGAAATTGCAAACTCTTACACTATTGTTGTTGCAGGGTTTTTTTATTCTACCACGTATTGATTTGCGGCAATGTACGAGCCAAAGAAATATATTTTTTCTTTATTTCTTAGATCTTTTTTAGAGACGACAGTGTATGATTTCCCATATGTTGTGCAAATGCAGAAAGTGCTGCTTTTTTCTCATCTTCTGTCCATTGTATCTTTTTCGTTTTTCCATAAGAAGATTCTAAACGAGCATAGAGAATATTATTGAAATAATTTAACAAGCACGAAATAATTATATTATTGGTTCTCAACTTTGACATAAAAATAATGTTGATTGCTATGATCAAACATTCTTATATTTCATATTTAATGATAATAAATTATTTAAATAATGATGCTTTTTTATTTTACTTATTTTTTTTATTTTTGAATAGTAATTATAAATAT